AAAACCAGACGTCTATCAGCTTTAAATATTTTTTTAAAAATCTTCTCAAATTTTGCACTGTTTGTACATAGATTAAAAAATGCTTACAACACAATTAAGTTATTCAAATATAATACAAAACTGTAATAAAAGTCTAATACAAAACTGTATTCTGATGTTCTATAATGAGTAATTAAAACAATTAGTTTCACTTAAAACTTCATGATTTTGTCTTCAGAACGCTATCTTTGATCACAGAATTATCTGAAAGGTGTAATATAGTGAGAATTTCGAAGGTTTGAAGAGTTGCTACTTTATAGAAAATAAAGATTTGGTAAAATATTAAAGTTGAAAAATTGAATTTTGGCCACGAAATGCCGCTTTCTATGTAGACCACTGTGCAACGAATGGATGTTAATGAAACTCTCAAATGTAAAAGGTTCTGGTGACTGTATCGTGGTCTGTCAAGAGCAGAATCTATTATTCCAAAAACTCATTGTCTGATCGACATAAACCAATACTACTGCATGATAATACTCGATCGTACACTAGAGATAGAAAAATATCGATAATTTAATACCCAACTATCGATAATCATGGATTATTTCCGTTAGACCAAATTCTATAAAAACTTCTTTCATTCAAACAGATCTTTGTAGTTAATTACTGAAAACACTAAAATTTGCTTATGATTTTGTGCGTTTTTACAAGAATTTTAAACAAAAATGAGAAATCATAATTTTAAAAAAATTCAACTTGAAAAATAAATTTCATTGCTCGTATATTTACGAGCAATTTATAAATTCCAAATGTTTACAGTGTATACAGTTTCAGAATCAGAGTCACTGATTTTTATTACAAAAAAATAAGCATGTCGATATTTTTTGCTTTCATTCTTAATCTTCCATCTGATATTATTTACCACTTTGCACTCCTTATTATTCGAAACTTTAATTCGGATTAGCAAACTGTACACTCGCGTCACGGGATTCCCGTAAGCATTTAAAGCTTCGTTGCTGTTACGATATTGATTGGAATAGAACCGGCAACCGGATACCGTAACTGCTAACCTGTAGTACAACACGGCCCTACGGGTGTATCAGAATATTGCCCCAATCACAAAACCAAAATATCGAAACTATCGATAATCATAAAAAAAAAAACACATGGATTGTTTTCGATAGATCGATAATAATCAATATGCCATCGATATTTCTCCATCTCTATCGCACACGTCACATATCACTGTAGCAAAATTAGCTGAACTAAAACGTGAAATCTTATCACATGCTCGTGAAACTTGTCTCCAACAGATAATCATCTTTTTCGTTATTTAGAGCTGTTTGCGAGGAATAAAATGTTCCGTACTCGAGAAAAGGTACTCTCAGCATTTGAAGGATTTATCCAATCAGAAAACGCTAATTTTTGTAAAAATGGAACATTTCAGTTGGTATCCCGTTGGAACAGATCCACTAATAGTAATGGTGAATATTTTGATTAAATAAAGAGTATTGTTTTGAAAATATATTCGAAAAACAGCAATTTCATATGGTACAATTTAGTACAGATAATTTTATTTTTTCAAATTCATTTCGTTCTAAAGAGTCATTTATCACTGACCGGAATAGCTAGTCATGTAATACTGTTACATTTGCAATTTAGGCATGATTATTAAATTTGTTTGGACAAATTGAATAAAATTGTGAATCGAAATGTCGACAAGAACGACTCTTTCGATTTAGTGAGTATGTAGGATCTGTGAATTTTATTTATACATTAACAGATGTCAGAATTACTAAGAAACACGCGTGAAAAAGATATTATATAAGTGGTGGTAACAGAAAGAATTAATCGATGATACATTTCTCGCGTATTGTAAACTATGAAATATTACCGTAACCTTGCCAAGAGCTCGAAATTAACATTCCTAAAAATGTCCGAAAATAAATTCGCTTTTACATAATCCAGATACACGGAAGCAATATAAACAGTATTCCAATAAAAATGTTCTTACTCAATTTCAGTAAAATCATTGAAAAAGATATCTATTTATCTTATAATTTTTTTAGCTTTATCAGAGGTTCCACGTTATTTGAATTATTTTTTGCTACTGAAAGACTGGATTAGTAGAAATTTATACGATAAAGTAACGTTTATATAAACGTTATCGTAAGTTTGATTACTGGTTAAACGTAATAAACGATTCCTTTTGTAAATAAAAATCTACGTGTTACTTTAAACAGCAAAATATTTGGATTGATATGATTGCCTCAGGAAGTTTGAACCTAAAAACGAAATTAGCTAATAACACTAATAATACTGAAACAACATTATTCGACAATATCAAATATTATTCTTTAATAATATTTAGCTTCAATAATAATATTATTCTTTATTAATGTACAGGGTGGGCCACGTAAAAGAGGCCGTCTAATTATTATCTCTAGCTGTGGTGGTAGGAGAAAATTTGTATACACAGTTTAAATGGTTTCAAAGGGTAAATAGAGCGAAAGAAAAATTTGTTTGATGAAACAAATGGCAAAAAATAAAAGGAAATTTCTCATTTGATTTACAATTTTAGAGTCCATGGTCATATTACTGTGTATGTTTAAATGCACATGAATGTCTGCTACAGCATACAGTAGAAACAATATATACATTCACGTACAAAAACGTAGCTGACTTAAAAAAAGGAACAAAATGGCATTTAAAGAAAAAATTGTTCTCTCATCTTATTCACCCTTTCGAACAATTTAAACTACATATTGTCTCGTACCACCATAGCTAAAGAAAATAATTAGGTGGTTTGTTTTACGTGGCCCACCCTGTATAACGTTGCTCGCGCTTCTTACGTCTAGAACATCAGCATTTGTGGAAATGTGGGAATCAAATAATAATCGAAATTAATTCATCTTCTCTTGATAAATAAAATTAGAACTATATTATAAAATCACGGGGGAGGGTAGCCTAGATATATTTTCTGCAGGGTCCTAGAAAGTAACTAGAAAATAACTAGTTTAGATCGGTCAAAGGATTTAAGAGTTACTAGGGAACGTACAGACATTCCATTTTATACACAGTGTCCAAGCAATCATGGTATAACCGAGAACAGGGTGATACGTTATGAAAAAATAAATCGATATTGTAGTTTTTGCATACGAGGCTTAGTTTGCGAGAAAAAGGACATTGTAAATCTGCCGTGCTCGCGTGCACTAACTGTACCTCTCGACGTAACGGATTTCTGTACAGAATGCTGTTTCTACTCTCGTTTCTTATTTGTAAACATGGTCAATATCATTACTTTCTTCCTGTCGTTTCTGTGACCTTATTTACTATGAATTTGTACTATGAATCTCTTTCATTCTATTAGGATGGTTTCGTAAATGAGAATAACTTTTTAAGGTTATCTTACTTTTCCTGCATTCTTTGTGGAATGTTAGAATTTTTGGTACAGTTAGCGTATGTGCGATCCTGAAGGATTTTCAAAGTCGTTTTTCTCGAGGACGATGCCACGTAAGGAAAGACTATATTCTCCAACTTCGACTTACGCTTTCATAAGAAATCACCCCTTTTTCTGGTTGCACTACGATTACTATATGCTTAACAGTAGCTCTCGGAATACTACACCAGTCTTATCTTTTCTTTCTATTGTGTATAACTATAATGTCGAAAATATTTAATACATTCTTCTCATGCTTCGTCAATTTCACTGAAGTAATCAAAGTATGCTACGAGTTCGAACAAACAAGCATGTAAATTCGATATTAAAGTGACAACTAAATGTTTATTAAAAAAAATTGTTGTCTATCTTAGAATCGTTATTTTACAGAATAATGTTTAATACGAATAGCATTATATACATGACAATATTTACCGAATTTAATTCAAATTTATATATAATTTAGGTTAGAATCAGTTCATTTTGAAAATTATGTAACAAATTCTTCGGTTGCTTCTTTAGAGATAATTGTCGTTACGTTAGCAATTGAATGAAATAGAACACGAAACAACTAGAGTAAGAGCGAAAAGTAAGATCGAATCATTATCCGTTTCTTTTTTTTTTCACGTGAATTATCATTGTTCAAACGTAACATCAATATTACTTTACGATTCCCTGGATATTATCGGCGTCCGTGAAACGCGTCACCAGCGAAGGTTAAATACATAGGCGTCTAACTATTTTGAGCAACATGCGCCGAAAATTACAGCGAATGTATCAAGCGTTTTCAACGCGATACCGTTTCTCAGCATCGTTTCAAAGTAGCTCCAATATCTTGGTGAAAATTTACAAACCGAGACAGTACGAGGCATAAAGTCCCAATTAACTTGCTTCCTAATACTTATCGTAACTAGTGTACAGTTCGCGATAGTTTCAATGTCATTGATAACAATCGAACGTTGCCAGAACTAGACTCCTAGCTACGTGAAATCGACCTATCGTGAACACTATCGTTTCACCCTATTGCTATTTAAAATCATCGATACTTATTTCCGGTACTCTTTCACTGTATCGTCACGTGAGCGATGAAAACTCAAGGTCTTGTTAAAATTCACTTCTGCTAGAATGCAAATTTACGCGAACGTGTCTACCTTATATTTCGAGTAATATACGTATTTTCGAAATATGTGAAACCTAGTTGGTTGTACTTCCACAGAGATTGTTCTTGGAACGTTGGAGAAAGCGAAGTTGAACGATGAGAAAAATTGAGAATGCTGTGCAAGCTTATCCCGTTGGCATGTAGCAAAGTTAAGGAAGCCCTAATTCACGGTACTTGATTTAGGCATTCAACTTGACTTGAACGCCTACCTCGCCAACATATACAGACGGTAGTATATTTCAAAAATCTTGTCCACCTTCGTGAAACTCCGGAACGGTTTCGAAATCGAATCGGCCGCGCACTAGTATCGAAACGCATCTGTGCAGTCCGAAGCACATGCTATCCGTGCGCCTACACGAACACACCAATCCCGTGTACACGCGAGTACACATCTCGATTGTTCAATTATAAGAAAATAATTACCCCATTTCTTTCCTGTGTGGCCGCAGTAAGTGCCCTCGGCGGGGTTATGGATGTAATCCCGAAAGGCTTTCCAATTCGTCTTTTGTTCGGGCGCTCGATTGTAATCGAACTCGTAGGTACCATTCTGCAATTGCTTACCGAGCACACTCATCTCGGCAAAACTGTTTCTCTCGGCGGTATCTCGGAAACACTGTCACTCTACTTTTGAACGCGCGAGCCTCTTAATAGAACACGATCTTTCGTTCAACGGCTCGAACCAGCTTTTACCTCGTACGAAACGGACCCGTACGAATAGAACGCGCACAGAGTACTCGTGGCCGCGTTAGCTGAAGTTGCACTCCGCTCAAGCCGAAAGTGCTCACTACTCACGGTGTCTCGGGGAGAGTCGAGCGATGCCGCGCATAACCAAGCTCGATAGCGCGGCCACGATCGGCCAGCCCTACGTCTACCGATCGAGTAGTGGGAAACGCTAAAGTATGTATATAACCAGAGGCCACGCTCACCGCCTTATGGCTGACTCACACCTAGCTGCCGGCGAGATCTCACTCCTCTCTCGCCGTATTATTTCGTATCAACTGGTTAGTCACGTGACAGGACCACTCATCAACTACCGTATCTTATCGGATAAATTTCATGTCAGACTGGATGCTACGCGTGACTTGAAGATCGATATCTAGGCGCTTCCATTTTTTTCCAAATTGATGAATTAAGCGGAAATTAGATCGCCCGTTATCTAACACTGCAAATTTTACGAAGAATTTCTACGATATTCGTGCCGGTGATTTACGAAAGTGGTCTGAGTGAAAAATCTAAAAATACTGAATTTATCGCTTGATTCGCGTCGCGTCGATCTTTTCACAGGGAAGAGTGACGTTACGAGAGAAAGTATTTTCTGAAATGTTTCTGTGTAAAACTAGCGTGTACAGTCGAATCTTTGATTCGAATTTTCTTCCGATTTTACGTGAATGCGAATTATGTCGGATTCGTTACATCTTCGTGGCGTGCAAGCGTATCGTTTCTATTCTAGCACATCCGGACGTGATTAAGATCTGGTTTTATTTGGAGAAAATTGCTTGTGTAACCTTCGGATTTTGTTTAACACTAGGTGAAAAGATTGTAGAATTGAAAAATATAACGTTTAAAATACAACTTTCTCAATGTAACTACACTCATTGTCAGTCAAAAATGTCTCCGTAGACTTCGTTAAAATGTATTGTAGCGTTGTATAATTTCAACTGAGAAGATAGTAGATAAATAATATTTACGTTACTTCGCTTAGAAACGTAACATTTGCTATTAGCGCGAAGAAAACTGATTTATGTTCATTCAATTAAACTAAGGGAAAAGAATAATGTAACAGAAACGAGATGAAACGAATTTCCGTACGGTATCTAAGAATTCAGCAATATGTCTACAAACAAGGCTACAAAGGCAAATACAAGTTAGTTTCTTATTTATATTTATTTCTAGTATGCTTAGTTATATTCTAGTAGTAAGTGTTATGTTTCTAAATAAAATAACGTAAATATCATTTATTTACTACTTTCTCTGTTAAAATTAGACAAAGCTAAATAAATTCTAACCAGGTGCGCGGAGACTTCTCAAACTGTGCGTATATCTAAACACTTACAACTATTACCAGACTTATCGAACCTAAAACTGATCCGTAGTCTATTACTCACAGTCTTTCGAGTAGTTTACCTTTTCTAACACTTTCTGTGTACGTCACTCGAGTGATACCTTAAATTTTCTGGTGTCCTTTTTCAACTATATAAGAATAAAGCGATAAAATATAATTTCACGCGTCTCGGTTGTCCACTGCAAAAATATAGCCACACCTAGAAATTTGGTACTGCAGAAATCTGCAAATCACATGTTTTTCGGGCTACTCTGAGGAAAAAGTGACCTTTTTTACCCAAATTTTAATCATCTTTCCCTTTCAATACCCCAAACAATATACGCAAATTTCCGGTTTGTGCGATTTCGTTTCTCAGGTGTTGTAATTTATTAGAGCGCTTTTATGTGAAAATTGATTATCGAATCGGTGAAAATAAATTCTAACGAGTAGCATGGAGACTGTTTTGACTGAGTGTACGTCGACGGAACATGTCCATGTTTGTGGAAAATAGCACTTAAAGATGCTGATCTTTCAGCATGCGGTAAGTGGACAAGTAAACCGAGGAATAAGTATTTTCTGTGCGTCAGATTATATTGACGATGTATGTACACTAAATTTGTCGAGATTTCCGAACCTATTTGTACCATTCCATGTGATTCATTAACGACCTAACGTTGCTCTAAAAATTAGACTCGAAATGATAGTTTCCGAAATTTACATCTTAATTTGTTTCAGAGGTAAGTTGTTAAATGAAAACGAAAAACAGCTTTTCTGCAGTCATCTTTAAAATAAAAGATACATTTACAGATTAAACTTTATTCTGCATTGCTATCACTTTGTCATTCTATATCGTTAATCTTTATTTGTAAAATTTGCAATATCGTTATCAGAGATGTTAATTTCTCTTAGTTTATCTTACAACAGATAGCAAATAAACGAGAATAATAAAAAAAAAAAAAACATTTCTGTAATACATTCTTAGATAGTAAGTAACTAAGTATTCACTTTTATCCAGCTTCGTTCGCTAAATCAACCTTAAGCACAGTGTATCACAAGATACTTGGCGACTTAAATTTGTAGATGCGTCGGATTTTTATCTTTCGCGATTATGCAACCGCGTATAGGAAGCCGTCAATGTCACACTATTTCGTATGTTTCTTGCGATAAGTTATATAAACATAACGAAGATCGCGCTTTAACGTAAATTGAATTTCAGACATTCTGATAGGGACTATTGTTTATGAAAAGTGACGCGGAAGGTCGAACGATACTTGAATTAAACGACAAAATTATTAATAGCTGTTACACGTGTTAATTAAAAATAAATGTTGAAAGATCAATATACTTTCTGAATGAAACATTTTAATATATTTATACGATACGTTCCTATTTATGCTATTGTTACGCTCCAAATGAAATTCTTTTTTTTTTTTTTACGCTTTAATTGTTCATCGGCAGGAGAGAGATTTGATAGCGCAAAGCATCGTGGGAACCCCCTAATCGATCGCAGACTCAGCCTTTGATATATTGGATGATTGCAAAAGTTCGTACCCGATTTAAAAATAAAACACAAGCGGTTTGTGCAAAGGCACGTTTCATTTGAAAATAAAATTAAACGAAGTGAATAATTATTTGAAAATAAAACACAAGCGGTGTATCTCTCGATAGGAATGTAACATGACGCTGAAACATCTGCACCGAAGTGTGATAAGGTTCCCGCAACCTCTGAAAATCAGGTACGAACTTTTGCAATCATCCAATATAAGAAATTGATCCTTTTATTTAGGTATCGTAGATGATTGTTAACCGTTCGAGTGCCACGGGATGTTGCAGAAATCTGACCGAAAAGTACCAAGCGGCGCGATCGCGTTTCTTTCATTTGATGTCGAAAAATTCCAAAAATTTGGAATACGACCGTTTGGAGATAACACGAAACAATGGCAATATTGATCATGTGCAGGTACAGGTCTATTTTTTATGAAAAAATAGACAGAGTGTAGGAAATAGAATAAAATTTACACTTGGTGGCCCAATGCGGAGGCACTTTTCGATGTCGAATACGAATATAATATCTCGTTAATTATTAGCTCCAGGACAAACAATGTTTAATACTTTTCTACTTGGAAATTAACGAGCTTTTGAACTGCCGTAAAAAAATAGGACATTTCATTTAAAAAAACAAAGGTGACCTTCATATCTCTGAAGCGACTCCACCTAGCAACAGAAGATTAACGCCATACTACGGCCCCTGTTGTCCCATGCAACTTTTGTTTCGAAAACTTTTCTACTAGTATCATACTTTCGGAGTTATTCTTGGTGGCAACAGTTAGTACCTCACCTTGTATATTGGATGACCAACGTATTGATTCATGCACTGATAACGCAACCGAGGTACTGTACCCAAAAACATCTTAGTCATACTTGTTTTCACTTTAAGTTTAAAGAGTACCCTCTCTCCATCAAATAACTACAATATAAAAGACTCTTCCCTTCTTTTCCTATCTTGGTGACAAAACGACTGCGTATTTCTGTACTTCACGAAGCAATAAGTTGGATCCGGAGCTATACATTCGAAACGTCCGAAATGGAATATTAATTAACAATCGTTCTTGACGTGTATAACCCGGATTCCAACAAATATAACGCATTCCTTTGTTGGAATCCGGGGAGGAAAGTTGACACCGATTATATTTTACCAATATAACTTTTATTTTAACAATGATACTTGTACTCGTGGATTCCGAATTTACAAGGCGCGAACTTCACGAAGAGACGTTGTGTGTTTTGCTGCTGTGTACTAGATGGACTGCTCTAAACTATACTCGCTTGGTTTCTGTAATGATCGTGTAAGGGATTTTTCGGGTGTACTTATAAGGAAGGGATTTGGGGGAGAAGGTGAACTTGGTTCTGGTGACGAACTGTTAGACAGGACTTTGAAGGGACAGTCAGCGGTCGATGAGTAGCTTGTTTTTCGGCGTTATGGGGTTCATCTTAAGAGTGACTTGGTGACTCAATGTCAATAGGCGGTTGGTTATCCAACACCTTTCTTGGAACCAATGTGATCCAGTAACGGAATAGTTTAGATATGCAACAAACCGTATTTTTCCTTCTTGGAACTCGCCAATATAACCGAATGCTCACTTATGTAAATTTCCCATTGAACACATACGTTAGGCCAACAAATTCAGAATATTGCACATGTACAGTGTCAACCAGCGAATAGGAAATTATTGCAATATTTTAATTGTACACTGATTGTCAAAAAGAGCGTATGTTTAAACTGTTTAAACCACATATGGGCAACCCGCTGCCCCAATCTATTTCAGCGAAGTTTCTCTTCAATCTTCACATTAAATTGTTACGTCGTTCGTTATATTATAAAATTTATATAGAGCTTTATTACAAACAAATGAAACATGAAGTAGCAACTTGTTTTAATTCATTTAATATTAATTTATTTTATTTAATAATTTGGTCCGGCCCTTGACTCGGAGACAGAACGGTAATTTGGCCCCCGAACAAGAAAAGGTTTCCCATGCCTGGTTTAAGCGAAAGATAGACTTGTAACCTAAACCATAATCAACCGTTTGCAGAATATTGCCTGAAAACTTTGTTTAACATAACTTTTACGTTAAACTCATTCAAACGTACCGGACAATGTTAGTAGTCGTAAGCACGAATGGACTAAAGCAGTGATGGCGAACCTTTTGAGCTCGGTGTGTCAAAATTCGGAAAAAACCTAGCTTAACTCGGGTACCGTGACAATCTAGAAATATCAGCGCACGTTGACTACTCTTGGGCGAAGATCGTCCGTAAACGATGCGCGTCACCCAAAATGTCTTGGCGTGTCACCTTTGACACGCGTGTCATAGGTTCGCCATCACTGGACTATAGTAACGTTGGATCCTTTTCACGGAGATAGAGCAAACGAGACCGTAAGACGAGATACCGTATCGTGTTCCTCTTAAGACTGTTTCGATTTCTCAGAAATCATAAACAATCCATCTCCAACGTAGTGTTTCAGGGAGTCGAATATCATTTTCGCTCTCGGAGGACCATTGCTGGATCAGTTCCGTTTTAGACATACAGTGACTCCCATTAATACTCGGACACTCTTTTAGAACAGTATAACTTTTTTAACATTGGACTTGAGTTTTTTTGAGAAGTTAGAAAGATGAGTATACTAGATGACGTGTGCAAAAAATTTGGAAAAATTTGCAATTTGTGGGAATTGCAAAGAAAATTGTAAAAGTCACCGTTTACAAGCTCCTTTTTGTCGGAGCTTGTAATGAAAATTTAAAACATACGTTTTGTAGATCTATGTCAATTATACACATGCTGAAAATTTGATCGAAATCGCGAAGGTTTGAAGATTTAGTTTATTCAATTTCTACGGTAGATATCGATTTCAGAAAGTTCTCCGATATCTATTAAGTGTTGATAAACCGTCGATGATGTGCTTATGCTCTCTCTCGATAGGGACAAGAATGGAGCCAACGCTATGCAGTCACCCGCTTTGCTTTAGTTCGTCTGTTGCTCTTCCTATGTTCAATTATGAATTTGAAATGAGAATTATCATTAGGAAAACGTGCTAGTATCCTTACTCTTGCGAAACAAGGATATTCAATTCGAGAAATTGCTGCAAGGAAGAAAATTCCGAAGTGGACAGTGCACGACACTATCAAGTGTCTGGATACTTTTCAGCGGTGTAGTGTACGTGTACAGCTTTGGCCAAAAGTATTAGGCACCTTTATTTCTACTGTTAATATTCGCTGCACGTACACGTCTTCAATTTCGCTGTTAATATTTTGAAAATTAGAACGTTTTCCTTGACATATGCCAGAAACGAGTAAATCGAGTGATCATCAAGGCAAGTTAATTTTATTTTTAGAAAAACAGGGTAAAAGTCAGAGAAAAATTGCTGCGACTAAAAAGTTCGCGTTGTGCAGTTCAAACGAAATATTGACAAAATTAATAAGAAATGATCGTTTCACATTTCAATAGTTTGATTTCCTTCTGGTAGAAAATTATTTTTAAATAATACATATTTTACGTGGTTCCGAACACTTTTGGCCAAGGTTGTATACAGAATTGTAACATTACGCACACATAAGAATTTGTCATACAGAAATTTTCAAAATTTTCTCCGAAACATCTTTACTTGAGTTATCAAAATTATCGGTACTCTCGATGTTCTCGATAAACTTCCTAAACCTAAATGTAACAATACGACAAAAATGATTCATTCTTCGTACTATTCTATTGTATCTTTGTCGAATCAACGTTTTCATCAACTTTCTGTAAATTAGTGGAAATATATTATTAACACATATCCTCAATAATTACAAAAGAAATAATAATTGTGTGTACTACGTTACCTATCATTATTTGAAAATCTAACGAATAACGAGAACGTTGCTCGATATTAGAGGCCCACAAATTGCATTCCACTGTAACTAATCTATGTGCTGCAATAAGTACGAGGCTAATGTACAAGGTGGACCAATAAGAGGTACCACCTTGAATATTTTCGGAATCGTGAAAGTAAGAGAAAAATGTTTCGAGTGAAAGTTGTTTGCTATAGAAAGGACCATTGTATGGTCACAACGATTTTTTTTATAGATAGAGCCGCTGAAGAGTCCTGTTTTTCTAACAACCTGCCAAGTTTTTTGTTTCTTTGTTAATAACAGCCCTTAAGATGAAGACAAAGAGACTTATAATATATCCAGTCAAGGTCACAAGACGGTTGATTTGCATTGCTACTGCTGATTCAATTGCTCTGAAGGGAGGTAGGAAAGTGATAAAGGATAGGCGGAAAAGGCAAAGTTAGGGGCGTTTCGTCCTGGGCCTCCTAGTGAACTCGTTAGTAAGACTTTTTAGGAGATCCGTGCCTTAGACGCAGCAGGGACTGGAAGGACTCAGGTCAGAAGGTGTATATATACAAATAGGAGCCTTTGTGAGGACTAGCGAGAACTTGTGGTTACTTCGTCCCTCTGGTGGCAAAACGTAGGAGGTCGCTACAGCTCCTTTAATGAGGTCAAAATTTATTAAGACGCATGTGTCTCTGTGACCTTGACTGATGTGTTATAAGTCTTTGTCTTCATCTTAAGCGCTGTTATTAGCAAATAAATAAAAAACTTGGCATGTCGTTAAAAAAACAGGGATGATCTTCACACCTCTTCAGCGATTCTATCTATAAAAAAATCGTCGCGACCATACAATGGTCCTTTCTATAGTAAACAATTTTCATTGGAAATATTTTTCTCTTACTTTCACGATTCCAAAAATATTCAAGGTGATAATTCTTATTGGTCCACACTGTATAAAGTATACGAGAATATTTAACGAAGCATGCTTTATAGTGCAGTAAAAGCTTGACATACGCGTTAAACTCTTGAATTTCAATGCGACAATTGGGGACAGGTAACTTGGTTGTCCGGTGAACGGAAAGTATTCAACTGGAAAACCAGGACTTGGTGCGTAATCTATTTCTCCAATATGCTCTTTATCGACATTGTTCGCTCCATCGCACGATAACCAAACGTAAAACTTAAATAGAACACATTTATGTATCTCTAAATATTCGATATTGAAAAATTTTCTAAAATATATTTTTTCACGTAAACATCTCAATTGCGCTCGTAAGTTTCACAGTTGGCGTCGATAATAACACGATAAACGGGATTGTACCTTTCGAGATTCGCGTACAGCTTTCTTCAACGTGATTGGCATATTCTCCGGCAAGGTTGACGAGTAATTATAGTATTCAGGTATCCAATCGAACTTCTATAGAAAACGTATGCATATAATTTGCGTTAAATTCGAATTGTAAAAATGTAATTGTAGTCTAGATCCTACCTTGTTAAATTTAATGAGAACACAAGGTTGCAAGGGTTTCGTATATCCGTATGGAGATTCGCTGCATTTTCCAAGACTTTTTATATCGAAGTAGCAAGGTTTCTCGGTACGATCCATTTTCGAATATTCATTCGGACAATTTAAATTATAATTTGATGTATCTTTTTCATACTCTAAATATAAAATCATATATTGAGCATTTTAACAACGGTTTTATAATTGAAAAAGATATAATCGCTTTAGAAATGCAACGAATTATCTTGTTAAGAAGAAATAAAAATGAAGGGGATATGTACAGTGTGGGCCACATAAAACAGGCCATCTAATTATTTTCTCTAGCTGTGGTGGTAGGAGAAAATTTTTATACATATTTTAAATAGTTTCAAAGGATGAATAGGACGAAAGAAAAAATTTTTGATCTAAGAAATGGCAAAAAGTGAAAGGAAATTTCACGTTCTGTTTAAAATTTTAGAGTCCAAGGTCATTTTAAGGTCATATTATTATGCATGTTTAAATGCACCTCAATAAAAAAAACGTACGTGACTTTAAAAAGAAAACAGAAAGAAATGGCATCTATAAAAAGTTGTTTCTTCCATCTTATTCAACTTTTGAAACCATTTAGATTACGTATAAAAATGTTCTCGTACTACCATAGCTAGAGAAGATAATTAGATGATCCGTCTTACGTGGCTCACCCTATAAAATGTTACAAGTTATACGGTACACAAAATATTGTTTACAATACCTCGTAGAAAATCAGACAACGCTCGAATATATCTTTTTGATCGGGTTCTGCTTGTCGTGTTACTCACAGAAATAAGGGGCGATGTAGCTGACATGCTGTTTGGTTTAAAAACTATCCCTTTAGAAAAATTTTACTTAATATCTATACTCTGTCCAATTTAAGAATAACCTCGCTTCGCGCATGGGACGTGCCTAAGGCAGGGCTGGAACGTCCAAACTTAACCGCCTACGTTTTTCTCCGTCTTACCCTCTGCTGCGCCCTCTGTCTATGCGCAGAACGGACGAAAATCGGTCCGAGAGCGAGGTTATTCTTAAATTGGACAGAGTGTACATATGCGTTACTTCTATTATTTATTAAATTTATTTAACATTAACTTTGAAATTATTCTTATACCGAATGAAGTTATGAAAATGATACGATGCTAATTTATCATTTAAATGTAGTTTACATTAACTCCATACTTATTTACATACATTCTTTTGTGAAATATTTTTAACGTAACATTTTTTTTTTTTCTTTTTTGTTAAAGTGTTGCATTTCTATACCTGGACTATCAAAGGTTGAACGCGCCAGGCGTAAATTTTTTCCAAAAAGAGAGTTCGAGGATACACCGGCGTATTGAAAAAACGGTTTCTCTAATTGAGAAACATAGTCTATGCTGATCTTCATTTGTATCGCGAATATTGAACCCAGAACGGCGAAGAAGCACAAGTAAAATATTCCTAATTGACCTAAATTTTAAATATGCGTTAATAGATTTTCAAGGAAATGTTTCTCTGCAAAACATCACAAAATAGACAAAAAAAAGCGGACGAAGCTAAATTGACACAATGCATTCTCAGCCATATTAATTTTCAGGCTTGTTCCATGAATTTATTTTAGCTTTTCCCAAGGCACGTTCAATATTTACGAATAACCATGTATAATTGTACAATTGTTAACGTTTAGGATAAAATAAAAATGCAAAGCTTCAAATTATTACGACTGTTACCCCATTCTGCGGCTGTTCTGTCGAGAAACGCTTTTCGATCTTTATCCCAAATAAAACGCAAAAAGTTTCGAAGAGGTCCTAAGTCAGGTGGAGGTCTTCGAATTCTGTAGTATTCGTCGTCGTGTAATATTATCATGTTGAAAAATGAATCTGTGTCCTCTAACAAAAAATGTTGTATTCCTTGAAATTAGTTATTCTTTAACTAACTTCAATAAGATAAATGCTACATGAATCTATTCACACTCAATTAAAAAAAGCAGATAATATAAATAAAATGAACGATGTTGGTATGTTTTTTCGAGTAGTTATTCTTTTCATTATGCTCTTTTCATGAAACAATTATTTGCTCTTTATGTCGGTCAAAAGGAAGCACTTGTATTGCACCATATCAAAATGTAAACAATGGAAAAATTTTCGTTTCATAACATATTGATTTCTTTAAAATTTTTTTAGTATAAAAAGGTCTACTTT